TTGGCTAAGTTTTAATTCGCTGACTGAATTTGTCAGCTATTGTACACTATATCGCTTCTAATAGATGATAAATACAGTGGAAAGTAAACGTTTATTTAACTTATTTTTTCGAACTACATATTTTGAAAGCAAGCTTCTATAAAATATTGTTTCTAGTTGCTAGTACATTTAAATAAAAATTCACTTTAAACCCGGATATATATTAGAAACGTCGAGCTACAGTTACAATAATGTTCAAATAAGTTTAACTAATATATATCACGTTTTAAATCGTTAAAGTGTTTTATTAAAAAGTAATGTTTCCACATTTTATTTCCGAGTGTTTTAATAAAGAGATAATATTTAACAGACGATGTCTATACCAAGATTAATTCATTATACTAAACGGCCTTACAAGTTATAGGGCTCCGTACAAATTCAATATTCAACAAAAAATACAATTATTTCAATTAAAGAAATAGCTATTATTTGCAGTGTTATAATTAGGCTTAAAAAGTTAAGGACATGTTAAGATACAGTTTTTTTTAAATAAAATTAACTTTAGTCTTCCTGCAAACATAACAGATCAAAGATGGTTAAAAACCAAAAACATCTTTTAAAATAGACGAGACCAAATCACACCGACGCGGACGTCTGATGTATGACGCGAACAGCGAAGGCTGTTGCAGTGAATTTTTAACTCTTCTGAATTTTTTACTCACATCCTATCCGACGCTCGCGATTCCACGCTCAGAATGAATTTTATAGAAACGTAATTGTATGACGGTGTTCACCAACATCGATTTCACTTTACCGAAAGTGAATAAAGATGGCGCTAGGGGTGACGAAATATAAGATTAACAAACTATTAGACTGCGAACACAGCACGTTTCGTTCCTTGATTTTTTCTTTTTATTAGGTTGAAAAATCGCACTTCTTTAGCACTACATCGAAAGATATCTTTCTTATACTAGCTAGGAAACGAAAAATTCAACAAGGTGTGTTAGTTGTAGGCGTTTGTTTGTTTGAGCTCCGTTTGTAAGTTTTGCAGCGAGTATAAAAATATTATATTTAAATTGCTTTATCGTAGGAAGCTTACATTTTTGGAAATAATGTTTTATGTTAAAATAAACAAGGCTTTAAAACAAAAGTATTTTTAATGGACGGCATAAATAAAATTAAACATCTATTTAGAAAAATCTTACGATACTGGCAGGACTTATACTCATCAGCATACAGCATCCTCCGCGTTCCATGAGAGGTGCATGTGTCGATAGGTTGAAGAAATTCAACAATGACGTCTAGGATCCGGTAGATCATTTCGTTAGAGCAGCAATACGGAAAGACATGGATGCCAGTTCACTTCCCGCTCGCGTCATAAACTTTTTTCAATGTAAAGAGATTCTTAATTTAAATTAAAACTCGTAAAAAGGGTAACGCGGAACTTAACAGTAAAGTCTTGTTAGAGTGACTTATCTCTTCCGAGAACTTTTCCTTTATTTGTCCCTTTGAATTATTGTTTCGTTTAAACGCTGTAACTTCTTGCAACATTCTTTGTGCCTTCGCTTTGAAGTAACGTATGAAATCTTTAATGGAAGAGTACGTCTCTCACGACGAGAGTTTTATATTGTTTAAACAGAGAAATAAGGAAAAGATTTTTCTTGGAAGATCCTTAACAATGTGGCTCACGACTATAATATATGATAAGTATAGTATAAATAATATCAATGTTTAGTGTATCTTCAATACATTTAAACAACAATACATAATAAAATATAAATAATTGTACAATTTAATTGATATAAGTATTCATTTTCGGAAATCTGCTAGTATTAGACCGGTAATCTAGATATTAAGTGAATGGTAGGAATATCGAGACCGAGTTCGGGTGGATGGTATCCCCACACCGACCCCAGATAAAAAAGCCATGAAGCTTAATCGTTCTCGTTTTGGTATGTGGATTTCTGAATATCCCAAGGAAAATAAAGGTCGACAGCGCATCGTGTTACATTATTATATGGGGTATTTATCGTAGTATAAATTGAACTCCATGCTTTAAAAAAATATTTACTATATATTTCGGCTTGATTCGTTTTTCATCAAGTTAGCTATCAGTGTAAGAATATGATCTGGTCTCTTATAAATCGTCATCAAACCATAAAGATCCAAGTATCGTTACCAATTGTAAAAGCGAAAAAACGACCATCCATACCTAAATAAATACCAGAAAAGGCGATCGTTTTGTATACGAACGCTGTATTTAGTTTCTAAAGGAAGGTAAATGGAAAACAAATGTACCCTTTGCTCGAACATCAAATAATGGCAAAATGTTCGGGCCAAATGTTTTTGTATCTCGAAACGATTTTATTGTTTCTCTATAGCTGTTGAATGATAATTCGTTGTATTGTTATATCTGAGAGAGGCAGCAGCAATGAAGTATAATTTTTAAATAATGTTGTACTAAACGTATGCGAGTGTTGCAACATTAAAATTCGATTTTGAATTATTGCAAATGAAGGCACTATATAATTTAAAAGTCGAAAAAAAAATTGAAAATATTTTCGACTCGGGGAGAACTCTGACGATGCCGGTTCAAGTCCTGCCCAAGTCGAATTTTTTTTCAATTTATTTTCGATTTTTAAATTAAATTAAAGGTTAACAAAAACGAAAAACATCTACATGGTCTGTTCCTTAATTCAATGTCTATTTGTTAAAGTAATCTCCACGGCGTAAATTTGTTGCCCTATTTTTTATAAGTTCAATCTTTAGCTAAGGTGAATGATTCTCACGGACCGTAAAAATCCGCTATATAAAAGAATACCATCGCTTTGAACAGTAATAAATGTATACAAAGCATTTTTATGAAAAACCTTCTATATACATTTTTTTAAAATTTTCGCTGTAAAAGGTTTAAATTTTAATTCCGACGAGATATCTCAATCATTTCACTTTGCAATAAATGTATACTAAAATCGTTTATTCACAAAGCTTGATATTATGTAAGGAAGACTTAACAATATTTCAGTCAAGGAAATTATGAATGGTTTAAACAACATATTTTTTTTTTAATTCGAACCACGGATGAAAAATCCGTTAGGCTTAATCGCGTTTCGGTTACAGTCTGTAGATGCAAAGCTTGCTCGTCCTTCTCTATCATTGAAAAAAAAAATCTTTTTTATATTGGTATAGATTTAACGACATCGACGCTGTCTCATAGAACAAGATCAATATCTACGCTTCTATAGTTCTCGAGCAGTCTCTTGCTATGAATTGCCTCCTGGACTGACGGTTTAGCCATCAATAGCTCTTCAGACTAAACAAGAGCCCTCAATAACAAGATTCGGCGCTATCTGTAATAGAGTTAGGTATTTGTAATAATGGCCTGGGTTATTGGATACATACACACATAATTGTACTATTATATCAACCGCACGAATATTGTATGTGATGTAGTTTATCTATACTAATATTATAAAGCTATAGAGTTTGTTTCGATGCGCTTATCTCAGGAGCTACTGGTTCGAATTTAAAAATCTTTTTGTATTGGTTAGAGCATTTATCTGGGAAGACTTAAAGCTATAAATTATCAGAGTGCAACATATAGGAGCGAAGAAAGATAGGGAAATGTAGAAAAATCGAGGAAAATTATCAATCGTAAAAGGTTTCCGTTGCGCGCGCTGTGAAAACGGTTCGAGATCTATGAAAGAATTATTCTTCTTTGAATGATCTTTAAACGACTTTAGCGACGTTATGTGTATGTATCTTTTAAGGTTAACTCGGCGAAATACTTCATATGATAAAATTACTTTAGGTTAGTTAGTGTGTGTGTGATGAAGGACTGGGTTATTGCGTGTTCCCTGCATACATAATAGTACTATTATATCAACCGCACGAATATTGTATGTAGCACTATCCTTTAGGAACTAATATACTACCCTGTACGACTCTCACAGCTGTTTAAACACACCACAATGCTCTTTTAACAAATTTCTGTCTGGTGAGAGTTTTCTTGAAAATCAAAGTATAATTTTGCATCTTTTGTAGTATACGAGAGTACTACACATTAAATAATTCAATAATAACGGTTTTAAACGCGAATTTTGATTACGTCTCCAGCAAAGCATCCGAAACTTCTGGCCGTAGTTAAATTTTGATCAGAAATAAGTTGAGAATATTTCACGCTTCAGGCCTTATCTCTTTATGAAAGTTAACATTTTGTCTGACCCGGAATATGAACCCTGGATCTCGTTATCCACTAACAATGAGGCAGTTGTAGCTAATAATCGACGCTGGATGTGTATTCTAATCGAATTACAATTCGACACTGAAAACTTTTTTTCAGTAAAAAATTTGAAGTATAAATTTTCCATTAGAAGTATAAATGAAAATTGCTAAAATTAACCCCGGCCGAAGAAAACAAAGACAATTGACAAAGTAGAAAGAGATGTTATTTATTAAAATTGTATCAATAGCGTTATCGACTTTTAAAGTTTTAATACCAAATATACACGGGCTAACTTTAGCAAGCACAACTTCGGAGAAGTTACGATTCGTTATTTAGAGCAAATTTAAGTTCGTTGCTATTTGTAATTTATAATATTGTAGCATTTAAGTCATTTTACTAAGTTATAGTAATGAAACAATTTCAACGCTTTGAAACGCGAAATCTATAAGTTAAATCTATGTACAAAGTATTCAAACTATGGCCCGAAATTTTGCAATAGATCTTTACAGATAGTCGGAGATATTTTTGTTGGTAATTTAAAGAGGAATCATTCTTACATACACATCTTTTTGTTTGGTTTCAACGTATGCAACGGACGTCCTCAAATATGGATAATTTTCCCTAACTTACATACTTGGTACTTTTTTCTATTGACTATCATAGCCTTTTTCGATAAATGGTCTATCCAACGCAAAATTTTTAAACTCGAACCTGAAGTACCTTCATTGAACAAACTCTTCAGCTTTATAGTAGTAACCTATATGTTAGATTTAAAATGTACATCTTTCTATTCCAGCTAGTGATTTAGAGTCAATACGAGCGCTGTTCAATGAGAAAGAAAAGGAGTTATCTGTGGCGGTCGCGAAAGTGGAGGAGCTGACGCGACAGCTCGAGGAGTTGAGGCGGGGCAGGGTGCAGCCAGCGCCCCCCTCCGCCCACGAGCTGGATAAACTAAGGCGGGAGCTGATGGTTAGTGTTTTCAAATTTTAAATGTTCTCGCTGCCGAACTGAACATCTGTGCATAATCTTTTCATGGCTATATCCAAAATTTGAACCGCGAATTTCATATGTATCTTTTTACTGATATAGTTTCGTTAGGGCTTTACTGCATGTGTTTAGTGGTTCTGGTCCGCTATTGTCTCCGAGGAGGTTGTAGCACGATTTACCACATTCCCGACGTCACTCTTGCCCGACGAGGTTGTCGGATTAGGCATTCACACCACCAGAACATTCTTATTAATTTTACTAAGATTGCCTCCCGACTAAAATATAACAAAATCGAAAGTCATATATTCTGGTAATTAAATAATTAGCAGACAAACTTTGTTAATACACTTAAATAAAATGACATTTAATTAGTTACTGGAGACCACGGCTGCTGCAAAGCATTCCAAACGTCGGGGCGTAGTTAAAATTATTTTTAAATAAGTTTTACTAATATTCTTCGCGTTTTAAACCGTTGAAGTGTTTTATTTAAATGTTTACTACTCGGGTAAAAAAGAGACAATGTTTAATGTTAATATAGTATATACATACTAGGATATTGACCCAAGTCTATCACAATAGACACCTGGAAATAATAATTCCATTTTGTATATATTTTTCAATTTTAACATAACACGTAAAGCGTGATTAATATACAATATAGGGTTGATGTCTTTTATTTCAGCTCCAAACATTACGTTTATCTGTATTAGTCTAAACCTTATTTAAGATAAAAGCTTCGTCCTAACTATGTACCAAAAGCTATTAGAGTTACGTGCGATAAAATGTTTAATCACAGGCTCCAGGCGGCCGTGTCCATTAGATTAAAAAGCTTCAGCATTAGTGATGTAACAACATTTAAAGGTGCAAATCGGATCGAATAAAAAGCAACTGGATTTACTAAACAACGAATACGAGAGACAAAGATACATTTGATGGTTCGAGAAATACCCCAGTCATATAACATTTCGACAATGAGCTGTCTTTTAAATAAAACACTATAACTGTTTAATACGCTTTATATATTACTTATTTTGACTACGGCCTGATGTTTCAGATGCTTTGCAGCAGCCACGGTCACGGTTAAGCTAAAGACGGAGGGAGTCTCTGTCATAGAAAAAACTGCTACGTTCCGTCGTAGTTGGTATTTCGCCAAACAGACCGGGTCCTCACAGAGTTTTTGAAAACAAACCATTAAAGCGTTACAGTGTTCAGTAAAGTACAAACAGTATTTAATAAGCTGTTTTTGGTTTTGGAGCTTTATTTTGGTTTTGGATTTTCGGTAAGCCATACACTGTCAACGAAATGGGAATTTATTACATCCTAGTGACCGGATCCGTGACCTTCGACAATTAGCCATACATTGCTACGATTAAATCAACGAGTCTAACAGAGTCACTTGTGTAAATAGTTGACCGTGTCTAAATCACAATGCTAGGCAACGCGTTCAAGCGTTGCCTAGCATAACTCTTATCACGAGATTATGTTTTCGGTCTCTTATGTCAACCTGAGAAACCAGAAGAGCTAATTACTATATCATAGCCTTTCTATATCATAGTAGTAATGACATAGAATGTCTGTCGACGCTTGCTCTAGAATTCGTGAGTTCGCGCCAAGTAGGTTGCTTTCACACCGTTTTAATTCTCAGAATCAAACCTAAAACATTTATGGATTTAGCGAATATAGCGATAATTGTTAACAAATAAATACTATGCTAATGGTTACAGACAGTGATAGAGAAATTTCGTTTCTTACAATTCGTAATATAAAAAACTCATTATGTCCCACTTACACGAATTATATCGAACAGTGTTAAATTTTAGTTTAATAATTGTAACAAACGAACATGTTGTATACAATTATTTGTGAAAGGAAAGAAAGTATTCGGTGTGTGCAGTGCCCTACGAGGGTAGGACGTCACTATTAAATAAAGATTAAATTATTCTTAAAACGAAAAAGTCTAAATGATAAAAAAACAAACTTAATGAAGTGTACTGGAATGTATGCGTTATTTGTAAACGAAGGAAAAATGTAGGAAAGTGAAAAATATAAAATGGTACACTAATACGACTACGACTAAATGCCCTCACTGTTTATTTAGTTTATTGGACTTGATTTAGGCAGCTCTGTATATACCTAGATTCAATCAGAAGTGTAAATAAGTATAAAACGTAATACGTAGAATTTTGGTTCACGAAGTTTTACTTGCTATCACAACATGCCAAGTACATTCCAACCGTACTTTTGTGATGGCTCAATAAATAGAATCATTATCAAATCACGAAAATTACTGTGACTCATTTTGTTCTCGATTAAGTGTAGATGAGATAATCGTCTTTAGTTTAGAAAAGACCACCACTTGGGAACAGCGGGGATTGTATCTCGAGATAGGTTTGAAGATTCGTCTATACACTTTATCAATATAGTTTAAAATCCGCCCTTAGGTAACGATCTACGACGGAATAAACAATTACGAAGCATAATGTGTTGAGGGGAAAAAAAAACTCAATTACAATCTTAAATGTTATAACAAAATTAAACAAATTCAAAGATAGTAAGGATAGTAGTAGTAATTATGAAGTTACATAATTTTCCAGAAAGCTTAATTAATTCTCATATAACCCGTAAAGTTGAAGCACAAGTTAATTTAGGAGCACAAACATTTGTAAAGTTCAATTTAAGTGAAACTGTAAGCTGTTCCAACAACAATAAATTCGAGTTACTTCTTCGAGGAAACGGTAGAACAAAATGCGTCACAGGATTTCTTGAATCTACTATTGGTCTTATTTATTGCTTCATTACGACGCTCCGCGCGAACAGTCTTTTATTTTGAGAGCGGATTTATAGAAAATGAGGGCAATGAATATTCCGATAGACGCAATCAAGCCCCTTCAATCGGTTGGGGACATTTTGTAACGCAAGATACGATGCGCAAAAAATATGAATAAGAAATAATTTCTCAAGACAATGACAACTCGTTCCTTTAGTTATTACTTCTAATAACTAAAGAAGCCTTCAGGGGCTCGGTGTAATGGTAGCAATGTATGGCTAATCAATCGGTCGTGGGATCGATCCCCACCAGGTCCATCATATTTTTAATTAATTCAGTCCGTGGATCTCCGAATATCCAAAGCCAAAATAAGCCGGTAGCGCATAATGTTTAGGTGGTATGTAGCTAGGATATGCGTTAAACCGTTGAGCCAATGGGGAACGTCTAAATATTATGCTATACATAAATTTTAGATCGAAACAAAACCGATAAATCGTTACAATTGATAACATTGTTGACGGTAATTCAAGCAGTTAACGATTTTAATAAGCAGCCTTTAATCGCTCGTAAACGCGACGTTACTCATCTTTTAAGAGGCAATCACTGTTACGACGTGATTATTTCGTCGCGAATTATTGAAACTGTTACGACAGGGACACCTGTTTCTGTTTTAGTAGCTTTGGTATTATATTAAACTAGATTTTGTCCAAGACGCGTCATCTGTGCGTCGGACTGACTTAAACAAGCGAGTTTTATTCTAAAGGATATATTATTTTGAGAAAAAATTGCGTACTTTTTCACGCCCTACATAATTGTATCTCGATTATTCTCCTTAGTTTTGTACAAAAGATGGCTCGTTAATTCAAACTCAAATGTTTGTTTAAATAAAACACTTTAACGGTTTAAAATGCGATATATTAGTTCACTCATTTGAAAATGATTTCAACTAATATGTCGCGTATTTAACGAAAGTGTTTTCTTTAAGTACAACTCGCGTAAATTATAGACAGTTCCAACGTTTGTTTTACTTTGCACCAATAGCTAAATGTTATTTGTAAAAAATGCGTTCCATAACTAGGGTCCTTTTATAGATACGTTTGTTTAACTTTTATATATAAATGATCTATGAATATATTTTTCGATGCAACTCTATGTTACATGCTTCATTCTCTTATTAGAAAATTGTAATCTTTGGTGTTTCTATTATGTTTCTTAAATAAATAAAAAATATTTCCACATGGTAAACCGTAATGGTATGTATATTTACAAACTAACATAATATTTCTTGTAATTTGACTTGGATTAGGTTACATTATATATTAATAATTCAGAAGTAAGAGAACAAAACGGAACGCTGTAGATGCCGGTTCAAGTCCTGCCCTTCGTCGTATTTTTTTTCAAATTTATAACCGATGTTCAACTTATATAGTGCCATCATGTGAAAAATATTAAAGTTTTCAAATTTTATTAATTATTTACACAACGCTAGAAATAAATACTTAGTTGTTCTTATGAACGACGTTAAAATATATAAAAATTCGCGATACACCTTACAATACGTTCCTTTACAAATTGAACTTGCACAAACTGACCTACACTCTAACCGTATCTAAATCTGTCTGATCTTCAGACACGTCACTGGACGCTACTCAGGTGCCAAAGCGAAGACCAATTTGACAATTCAGTAAGAGCTGAACTGTGGACTTGTATGCCGTGACCCCGCGAGTGATTTATTGGCGTAAATAAAATACAGCGCGTTTCGAATCTATTTCATGGTTCCTGAGCGAAGGTCTCTCGTAATTACCGTTGTGTATAGTGTAACTGGGCGGTGTCGACGATATTGTTAATTGTGGTAATTTATTGTAACAAGATTTAAGTATTTGTGTATGTAGTTTACGCGAGTGGTACACATTTAAATAAAACACTTTTAAACGTTTAAAACTCAGATGTATTAGGCAATTTCTAATTGAACTGAACTTCGACGATCATCTTTTTCGTTTTAAAAGTTTTAAAGAAAAACCAATTTTTTAAAGAATTTATTTTCTTGTTTTTGTATTTTCCATCCTAAATTTTTTACAAAAATAATAAACTTACAAAGTTTAAATTATTTAAATTCTATAGATTTTCAACTTGTACTATCGAGGTCTAACAGTTGATATTATGAAATTTTAAAAAAATATAAGGAAATTTTTCATTTATTTAAATTTAAGCTACTAAATTTTTCAAAGCTGTACGCGTCTGTCTCTACAATTATTATTTTATATTACTAAATGTTATCATTTTAGAATTCCCTGATTACAAAAAATAATCTCCAGTACTAATATGATTTATACACGCATTAAACAATTCGATGACATGGAAAAAATCATCCGCGTGGAACTAATTTAGCTCAAGAATGAATTGGTGGTCAGATAAATCGTGAAATAATAGCTTTTCGATGGAATGAAGTATATTGTGTTTGGGACATTTAAGGGAATGGGTTTTTTTTATTATCTTCCCTCCTATCAGTGTTTGGGACAGAATTTCAGATATTGTTTATTCTATTTTTACTTTCATTCTTGCTATGGGGTTGATACGACTTGGCGTCGCAACTTTTAGGGATTATAAATTACGACGAAAAATACTACATTTTATACCAATATTAAAAAAATATATATTCTCATTCAAATAACTACTATTTATTGTGTGACGTAATACGAAATTTAGCTAAATTAAAAGTGTTTTCAGATTGTAAATAATAATAATTTAGCTGCTGCTCTAACCGATTGACCTGTCTTGTTTTACTTTTAACATACTTAATTTGTAATGAAAGACGTTATAATTAGTCTACGAAATTTTTTTGAAAATTTATTTTGAATACTCAAGAAAACAAAACATCAAAGTCACTTTATTCATAGCAATACGATTGTTAATGTTATTCTTATACCACACATAGACAATGGAATATAATAATTTCTTTCTATATTCCAGTATCGTAATAAATTGAACGAGCAGCAGAACGGCAGATTATCAGCACAGCGGGCTGCTTTAGGCGCCCGGCAAGAAGAGATGCGGAGTATCGACAGAAGAGTTTCGGAACTGCAAGCAAGGTTGTTGAGGAAACGGGCTCTTAACAGACAGCTGGCGTCTGCGCATCGACAACCGCAGCAGAGGTAAGATTACTTACCCAATATTTATTTCTTTCATTCAAATATCAATTTGTGAGGGGGGGAACCCAATTCAACACTAAACTTACAAAATATCTTACTTAAATATGACTTATAATATTAACTATTATTATAAGCAATTACTTCACGATATATATAATAAAATGTTTGAAAACCTTTGAGACTCACTTCAAAAGCGCGAGACATTCTAAGAGTCAATTCATACAGTGAAACGGACACAAAGCTATGTCTTTCCCTTTAACTATTTTATTCATAAGACTCGACGAAATCTAAATTATCCTTTTTTATGATAGAGGACAGAGAAGCACGGACTTCACTTGATGGAAGTGGCTATAGGTCTGTGGCGGTGGTTCGTAACCCGGACGGAATTTCAATAATTCTACCACCATTTAATATCCAAAATTACAGACATGTTTCAGAGAAAAAATTAATAGAAAAATGTTGAACTCTGTTAATTACTAGCTATAGGCTGCTATCATTATATCAACGAGGTTGTCATCAGTACGTTAATTCCTGTACTTTTGTTTACGTATTTATTTTTGACATCCTATGTCCATCGGTATTAAAACTAAAGTGTTTTCGACAAAATAACGATGTCTTAGCCTCACCTTATACATATTTTGAAGATATTATCTTCTTAAGTATTCTAATTAATTCCTAGCGCGTTCAATATTCGCAATGTGACGTAAGCGCGATATGAAAAGCCACAACCATTAGCTTCGTACGTCTATAAAGAGATATTACGCTCTCAGCACATCCACTGATAGCTCCAGGAAACTTTGTCGATTATGTGGTTGGAGATGAGTGCCAGGGAATGATTTATGCGATCGAAGAGATAACATTATGTGTATCTCATTTTGGGGCCTATTCATCGATGCTCTACTTACATATCGTCACGATAATTCTAAATCGTATCGTATGGACTAAAACGGATTAATTGTTCCATTTTTGAATATTTTTGAACTTTGGTGATACCAAATTTAACAAGTAGAATAATTAATGATAAATGATCTAGAAAAATGGTTTTGAATGTGTTGTTTTTTCGAACGGCTTGACCGAATTAGATGGAATTTGTATCTCGTTTACAGCTAGTTACGGATAAAATTGTACTGTTTTTTTACGTGTGTTGGATAAAATATTAAAAAGAGTCACACTCACGTCGAGTTTTTAAAAATTCCAAGTGTTGACGTAATTTTTTACTGCAGGGATTTTGGTTAAAAAATTTTTGATTAGGTCACCATAAGTAACGTTATAATAAACGTATATTGAATATTTTAATATATGTATGAATTCGCGATTATTTCATTCCTCGCAATTGAACAATTTCTATGTATATTCTTTCTTAATCATGTTGGACTTCGTCTGAAAATTTGGCTATGAGGAATATGGAATCTTCCGTCCGGGTCACGAACCACCCTCAGTGGAAACCACCGCAGTTGAAAAAGTCGTGAAGTTTAATCACGTCGAAATGGGTCTACAGTGCATCTTGCTAAGATCTTATATAGCTGGGGTATTCCCTTTCTTTAAGTAAACGCCGTGCTTGTCGGCCTCTATCATAAAAAATACAACGCATAAAACCTTCGCATACTGTCGATACTTGATTATCTAGGGAAGCTATTCGCTATGTGGGTTAAGCTGGAAGTTTACAAAACTTATACTGTTTACCTGACTAGTAAAGTTTTTACAGTTCACCCACTGTTTGTTTTACTAATACTGACAGAGTTTCTGCATTTGTTTTAATTAAATACAGTTTTTGTACTGTTGAATCTAATTAGAGATAATTAAATAAACGAATTCCAATGGGTTACAAGACTACAATCTTGTTATATACTGTTATATTGTTGTCGAATGTCGAAAAATATTGCAGGTTTATCTTTCTCCGTGTTTTTAAATGTACTGCTAATATTTTTTTTTCATTTCCAGAAATAACAACCCAACGCCGATGCAACAACTGCCTAACTACCCCCCTGGAAGCAACCAGATCAGCCAACCAAAGAACCAGCAACCAAGGGGAAACATCGCCGCCGTAGAACCATACAATCATATTCCTCACGCGCAGAGCCTTCATAACAATAACTTCCAGGTTAGTTATTTTCTCTTGTACATTTCCCCTATTAAAGAGCGACACGAAAGGCCTATTGTCAAAATGAGATTCGATAGATAGAGAGAGATCGGAGTTTAAGAGGATTCCTACAACCAAAGCTAAGTCAAATAAAGCTAAATGTAGTTGCTAGAATGCTAGTTATATTGCCCCTTTCCTTTTCAGGCTATGAAACAGAATAACGTGCCATTAAAACAACTCACACAAACCGATAACATACAGTCCCACCTTACGCAGCAAGAAGCCCACTACTTGCAGCAGAAACAAATGATGAACCCACTGTACAATGGCAATTATCACATGCACACCCAAGAACAATACCCCGCCCAATATCCCAGCAAACCAGAAATCAACGTATTCAACCACGTGCAGCAGGGCATAAACTCATACGACGGTAAAACCATATTCGATCAAGCTAACAAGTTCTCGGATTACCCGAAACAGTACAGCCCCAACAGCACCAGCAGCTCCAACAGCAATCAAAAGGAACAGAAGATCAACGAGCAAGAATTTCCACCCGAGTTCGCGGCCAGCAAGTCGGATCCTAAGTATCAAACGCTGCCATACAACACAAAGTTCCCGCCGAATGCAAACGTTAAAGTCAATGGGAAAGATGTGGATAAGAACCAGAACCAGCAGAATCCAAACATTAATCATATGACTGTACATTCCACACCATTATCTGTGGTCAACAAGAGTCTTGCGACGCCTTTAAGCCAAGAAACGACATATCCAGAACATACATATCAGCTACAGAAGTCTGACTCGTCAAGCAGATGCAACCAAGAAGGGAAAGAGAACGCGTATCAGAACAGGTTAAGCAATGGTCAAGAGGCGCGTAATGGAAAAACTCAGGGGAATTTGAAAGGGAATTCTCCAAGTATGTTGTCCAGTACTACGTCAGCTAGCAGTTCTATAGGATTTGGGGTAAGTTCGTAACGTCTTCATCGTATCATGTCTGTAGTAGATTATCAAGCTGTCATTAACCTTCATTGTCATTAAATGGTATATAGAGTTTACCTTGATATTTATTATATAGTAAATTAAATATTTATTTGTAGATTTCAACACGTCTTTACAGAAATGTGTAAAGAACAAATTCCTAATTACGAATCAAAACTCAAGCTGTTATGCCAAATATCATGAAAGCTTTTAAGAATATCTATATAGCTTAGTGCTTCTAGGCTAGATACTTTGGCTTTAATAATATAAGGTAGCTTGTTAATTAAGGGCAGACTAACACATTTTTTGGGTATCTAAATAACAATGTAAACCCTATATACAAACATACAAGTATCATGCTTTTACCATACAGTATTATCGGCAAAATGAAAAGGAAAGATGACGTTACCAAACTTAATAAAACTTGTTAGGTTGTTGGTATCTATACTCAAAAATAAATAATACTTCAAGTGTTATTTTTACTCTCCATACAACGACTCTAGTTTATTCTTATTTTTTAACGCGTACCACTTCGTTGTATGTCTTATAACCTTATAGCCGTATAGGATATTATAGAATGAACATCATCACCACCTTTTTACTTTTCAAGCACACACCATTGCTTCGCACCCATGTACATATCACCATCATTCATTGCAGAAGCCCGTATCGAGTGTAGCCCCTACATCGGTTCAGGTCTCCGGCAAACCATCACCCATTTACCAGACATCCTCGACCAAAATCCAGCCGGTACAGCCGCAAACGGTTCAGACTCAAAGCCTAAATAACCCTTCCCAAACCCAGATAAGAAACACCGCATCGGGAATCTCGAACTTGAGCGCGCAGAACTTGTCGCAAAGCCTGCTTTTGTCACCTCCGCAAAGTGCGAGCACGCCCTTATCGACTCCAGATGTCAGTGCTGATAAGTCGCCCAAACCCGCGTTGCCTCCTAAGCCTAGTATTAAGGTGAGTTGGTCACGTACAGTTAGTATATTCCATACAACATTAGTCATTAGAGGTTACAACTGTCACTTGTTTACGTAAGATCGATATTTATTTTTTTATTTTCTGTAGTTACTGATTTAAATATTAGTGGAATTGAACTATGACCTATACATAATTTCCTAAATCCAAGGAACGAGGAACCTAAAATATTTCATTATATTTAATATAACATAACCTTCTCCAGACTCCGCCAAGGCAGTCAGTAAACAACGACTACCAACCAGAAACAAACCCACCCAACATTGATACGAATGACAGCGACTCACAAAGAGAAAACAGCAACGGGAGCTCAAACGAGATGATCATAAAAGCTCGTCCGTTAACCATAAGGAAACCTCCTCTCAGCGAACAGCCCAAACTTCGGAACAGCAAAAACGGCCTAACAAATAGGAGAATAGAAATGCCCCCTACTTTCCTATTCCCGGAAATCGATGCTGACGATAAAGACAAGAGGAAGGAGGAGGATAAATCCATATCGAACGGAGATAAAGAAGACGTATCAGAATTGACGGAGCAGATCAGCTCGGTGGATTTGAATCAGGATAGAAATGATGTTGTGCGGAGATCTAAGAAAGGAAATTTGAAGCAGGGTGGGAAGCCCCCGCTGGCGAGGCGGGTTAGTTTTGACCCACTCGCTCTTCTACTAGATGCTAGTCTGGAGGGAGAATTAGAGCTGGTTAAGAAGACTGCTACTCAGGTGAGTGGCCTACGTAGGCCTGATAAGGTTGTTGTGTTAAATATCGACTTGTTCTAAGTCGTTTTATTTTAATGGTGTTGTAAATTACTTTCAACATAGGTACTGTTGTCTAATTGTCAAGAATATGTCGCTGGTTCAAATCCAGCTCAAAATAACATGTTAAGGTAAAGATGATGCTTGATGAGGTGTTGAAAATGAGAGAGCAGTTTTACAAAAGCATCCGAGATATTTTTTTAATAGTGTTACGATGCGATGAAGGGACAGCACAATTTAAAAATGTCATTTGTTGGAAATTATAAAGTAGAATTATGCCTGTAGATGGCTCTGTCTGCAACTTGCACAAATAAAAAAAACATCGAATTCAAGTAATAACAATACAATTTACATGGTCCGAATAAGCCTAATCATCTTATTGTATCAATTTCAGGTGCAAAATGCAAGTGCTGCCAACGACGAGGGTATTACCGCTCTACACAACGCCATCTGTGCCGGCCATTTCGAAATAGTCAAGTAAGTGGTGTGCTTTTAAAAGTTAAAGATTCATCTTTCAGTTGCTATGGCCAGCGTCTGCAAGCTTGCCAAAAGCATTGTTAGTGTCATTAAAAGTAAAGAAGTTGTGGACCGGGTTTCATACGTTTCGAATATTTGTTAAAGACTTCTTTAAGTGAACCCATATTTCTAATTTACCAATGCTACCAAAAATATTCCAGCCATTTAAATATAAAATTTAAGGTTTAAAACGGATATATTATTAAATTATTTAATGATTTTTAACTTCGGCCCGACGTTTCGGATGCTGGCGGCTTAAGCCGGTTAAGGGAATGACCACGTTTTTATTTAAATGTGTACTACTCGTGTAAACTATAGACAGTATTTAATTCCAGCCATTTTAATTTTACTGTATTTCTAAAATATACCTGCACCCAATCGGTTTCTACGTAAAACGATGTAATTATTATATGTGTTTGTTTTCCAGGTTTCTGGTAGAATTAGGTTGCGATGTAAACGCACAGGATTCAGACGGATGGACGCCGTTGCACTGCGCTGCGTCCTGCAACAATCTACCAATGGTTCGATTCCTTGTTGATAATGGTATGTTCTTTAGAAATTATGTTGTATTGAATTGCTTTACCTTATCTCAACAACCAATTTCAATTATTATTATTTTTATTTAGTTTTATGTAAAGACATTAGAAATATATATTATATTAGCCTTACCATTTCTTTTACCATCCCTGCAAGTAAAATTACGAAGTTATTTAAAGCATTATATGAAGTCTACTTTATACTATGGTTTGGTTTTCAGGCGCTTGCATATTTGCAACAACGCTATCAGACCACGAGACGGCTGCCGAAAAGTGTGAAGAGGATGAAGAAGGCTTCGACGGCTGCTCCGAGTATCTATATAGTAAGTTTCTTAAGTTCTTTGCTCGACTATATTCTGTTTGTCATTCGTTTGCAATTTGTATATGTTGTTATAAATAAGTAAACATAATTACCGTTATTTTAGTATTGATATTGCGAGAATAGTGTAAATATTTATATTTCTATGTTCTCTATATCTATGTAACTTATAAGTTCTCTAAAAACTTACCAATGATTGAAATCTATTAAATTAACGTTAACAAAGTTTGATTCAAATTTGACAATTGACAGCCGTCAACTCCGTGTCATATTACATATTTGAAGAGTTAATTATTGGTCTTTTGCCTGATTTACATTAAATCATCTGTCTCTATTAATCCGCATAGGAACAGCGAGTGGATCAGGAGTCCTCTGCCCAGTGGCACTTTAATAGGTTTGAAAAGATGGGTCTTAGTGCTGTCCAAAAACCCATTGATAACTAAATAATGATAATCAACAGGTAATTTAAATAAAACACTTTAACGGTTTAAAACGCGATATATTAACATTTGGAAATGATTTTTAATTCGGCCCGACGTTTCGGGTTTTCCAGTCTCCCCAGTGACCACGGCTGCTGCAGAGACTCGGAAACGTCGGGCCGAAGTTAAAAATTTTCCTAGTTTGACTAATATATCGCGTTTTAAACCGTTAAAGTGTTTTATTTAAATGTGTACCACTCGCGTTAACTATAGACAGTATTTAATCAACAGGTGTTCAAGAAAAACTAGGAATAATGAACAGCGGAATAGTGTACGCGGTGTTCTCATACACGGCGTCGCGCAGTGACGAGCTCTCGTTCGAGTCCGGCGCGAGGCTGCAAGTACTGAGGAAGGGGGACGACAACGAGCGCGAGTGGTGGTGGTGCAGGGACGACGCGCACGAGGGATACGTGCCTAGGAACTTGCTGGGGGTTAGTGTATTCCTTCATTCTTTAAATAATCATTAATTACCATATGTAAGCATAATATAGTGTGTACATTTAGTCTAGTTCTAAAATCAAGGGCGTGGAACGAGAAGAGCTGGCAAGAAACTCGCCATGTGTCAAGTCTTAGTTTAAAGAGCAATGCACAAATAAATGTATATTAATACAAATGTCACACTTGGTACACAATGGTAACTTTAACTGCATAACTTATAGGCTTAAAAGCGTGAAGGCCTAAAGACCTAGATTGGAACTGGCTCCCAAACAATTTTTTTATTGTACATTTCTTTTTTTGGTATGAATGGTAGAAACACCCCAGCCATCTAAACCAGATGCGATGTCGACCTTTTTCACTTTGGATATTAAGAAATCTACAGACTGAAACCGAAACGCGATTAAACTTACGGCTTTTTCATTTGTGGACGGTGAATCGATATTACTACCACATTTGATATCTAGATTTCAAGACAAAGTTTTAATATAAATACTGTCTACGCGAGTAGTACACATTAAGAAATAAAACACTTTAACCGTTTATGAAACGCGATATATTAGTTTAACTTATTTGAAAACGACTTTAACTTCGGCCCGACTTGGTAGGACGGATGGCTTCAAAGATGACCCGAAGAGCAAAATTTTTCAAATAAGTTTACCACCCTTAAAGTGTTTAATTTAAAAGTCTTTTTCTAAAAGATATGAAGAATTGACCCGGTGGGGACCGAATCCACGACCCGTTGATTATTAGCCACATTTTTTTTTGTTTTTAGATTAAGTACTTAATTCTATTTTGATTATCTCTATTTTAACGAATACCACTTGTTACAGTTATATCCAAGAGTAACCCCACAGCAAGAATAAGTATCAGGGCTTAACTCAACGGACCTAATCAATTGTAAATAGACTAGTTAATTATTTTTTATCTATTTATATTAATGTATGTAATCTACCTTGCATTGTATACAATTTTAAGAGATCTAATATTTTGTAAATATTTAAATAAGCGAACAAATGAGATTATATTGTAAATACATTTTTTAAACATACGAGTCATCTTACTTAGTAACGGTTTGTACCTATTGTCTTAGGGTCTTTGCGAATTGTTGAAATATCACATAAATTGACAATACGAAATACTTATTACAGACTATAATTGTTTTATTATTTATCCTCTTCTATATTCTTCTTAACGCGAAGTGTCGCGGGTTCGAATCTCAAGGTGTTAACATATATTTTTGACTTTGATCTTTAAGATTAATTAGTGTTTTTATCATTTGATAGATAGAGGACAACAAGCAAGCATAGAGTCCCAACCCACCCCAGCCATATAACATTTACATAATGATGCGATGTCGATGTTTTGGCTTTGGATATTCCATTATTTTGATATTAGATGAAGCGATTTTTTCATATTGCGCTTGTAAAATATAAGTATTAAAAAATATTACTATACCATGCCTTGGAGTACACAATAATGGAGAAAGTTAGTTTGTAGTGTTAGCTAGAGAGTGGTAATATGCACTAGAACAGCGAGGTGGGTCTAAACAGGAGGTGGGTGAATGGAAAAGAGAAAAGAGAGGAGATATGTACCCAGCTGTGGGATATTAGTGGGCTGTAATTTTAAAGAATATTAATTATAATTACTGCGTAGGCGAAAAAGTCTAAGAGACGTCAATATCCTCATACATTTGATTCATCCACGAAGTGCTCAAAATCTGAAAACAATGGAGGCCCAAATTAAATAAGGTATAAAATATAACTTAACTAATATATAACTTAACTTAACTAATATGTAATATAACTTACTAAGTAAATAATAATTTTTTCTTGAGTTATTGTCTGAATTTTTTATGTATACTATTAGGTATAAGTTGAAGACTTTGTTTGTTTAAACGCACTAATCTCAGAAAATACTGGTTCGAATTAATAAAATCAATTTGTGTTAGTTAAAGCTGCGGAGACGGTTTAAGATACCAGATGAAATGGGCAGGTACTTACTGTAGATAGGGTAGAAAGAGTGACGTCAGAGAATCCCAGGGCGGACATCGTGCAGGGTTTTTGAGCTCTGAAAATGATTTCATTCAATTCGTAAGATTGGATATCAGCTTGTTTACGATACAAAAGGGTTTTTTATTGATTACTAACCGGAAATGTTGCCAGCTGCTGTAGTTACACACGCAATTACACACTTTACGGCTTTTTAATTAGTGGACGGTAGTTCGTGATCCGGACATATTTTCGTATTTTCTACCGCCCATTAATTATCCAGATTTTTCAAAGTACAAGATATATATAAGAAAAAACAAATTCATTTGACTGCCTATAGTTTACGCGACCATTTTAGTTTATTTATAAGCCAATTTTTTTATTATTTTTGTCTCCCCGTGACCACGACTGCTGTAAAGCATCCGAAACGTCGGGCCGAAGTTAAAAATGAGTTTAACTAATATATCGCGTTTTAAAGAGTTGAAGTGTGTTATTAAAATTCATTTTATTCCAAGTTTTGTTGCCTTGCCAGTCGCGGATTTGTATCCAGACCGTATAAGTTTTAAACTGACAATAAGGTTGCCGGTAGATGTATGAAGATTTAAATACGCACCTTGTAATAATTGCCAGAATGTATTTTCGAAATCTCTTGTCTCTTGTGTACCAAGCGCAGTTGTATGCCGCGTCCGCCATATCAGAGCTCTGCACAACATAAATATCATGTACTAATTTTTAAATGCGAAAGTCTGTGCGGCTTTAACGCCGAAACTACTGAATCGATTTAAATGAAATTTGGTACACATATATTCTAGAACCCGACATAGGCTACTTTTTAATGCCAAAAAAGGGTTAGGGGTTGAAAAGGGGGATGGCGGAAGTTTGCATGGAAATTCGTGATTTTTGAAGCTAGAAACATTCTTCTTTGGCTTTCTAGGAATGGGTGTGAGTAAAGACTATAGACTGTCGTAATTAATTTTTATAACACACTAATATTATAAATGCGAAACTAAACTGAAACACTGTAAAACTATATTTACATGTTTCTTATTAAATTTATAAAATAAATAAATACTCAGCCTAAATAATTAAAAATTCTACCCAAAGTCACTATTCCACGCGGACGAAGTCGCGGGCACAGCTAGTGGCAAAATAAATAGATTAGACGACATGGGATACGCATATTAACTATATACTATATCTGTAGTTTACGCGCAATATATTAAACAGTTAAACTTATTTTTGCATTATTTTGTGCTTTAACCGCGTATAAGTGTTTCTATTTCAATATGCATAAAGTCATATTATGTTGGACATTATTTCCATACTTTGTCCTTCCAAAATCATTATAACATCTTGACCCACCGTGTTAAAGCGAGAGAGATATACCCGATAAAAGACAAAATGGAACGAATTTAGTCGACACTCGAATTTGTGGCGGGAAACTACGAATGTCATAATGGTAAGCTAAGTGAAAAAATAATAATAATTTAAGCACTCACTGTATCTGAAAGCAGTTGGCCGGACCAGCAAAAGTTGTACATTGCCAGGATTATGCCAAAAGTTGCCAATAAACTTTTTATCAGGTCTTTTCCAACCTAAAAAATTAATAGCAGCTTATTGTTGCATTTTAACAGTTTAACCTTAGGTTTCGTTGCTGTGATTCTGTTCTTATCTCTATCTTAGTCTAAACGATACTTACTATAGTGAGAAAACCAAAACAGCAAATGACGATCGAAGAAAATGTTACTTGTGTAAATAACAACGGTCCAAAAATATGATTCAGCTTCTCTACTACACTGCAACAACAATATAGAAGAATTATTCTCAACTCTATATTAGTATAGTCTTAAGGTTTAAATTAAAATAATTTTAAAGCTTACCTTAATAACTTTTGATGTTTCTTTACAATGTTGGTCATGACAGACAAATCATTTTCAGCTTTTTCATCAATTTGAGTAAAATCATTTTGGAGCGCCGCTAAAAGACCACTTACGTCAAATACGAGAGACGTAAGTATAAAGTCAGTCGCTATGTAGAGGCACATATGCACTGTGCCAGCTATGGAAAAAAAATAAAAGACTAAGAAATTTAAATTTCACATTTAAATTAAAAATATGGTAAAACGTAATTTATGGTTGGAAATTATGATTTTATATGATCATTTGAAATTATAATTATGTTAATTTCAGTCTAGTCTAACTACCCCGAATACTCGTCTTAAAATAATAAAAATTATAGTCGCAAAATTTAAACTTGAATGTTGGCCTATAAAATCAAAAACATTGTAATAAAGCAGTGAAATGTTTTTTTGGTTGGACATGGGGCAAAAAGATTTCAACATACTTCCTAACTTGTGGACTTTATTTACATACAATTTATAAGACCCAAACTATTATCTCCCCGGGATTCGAACTCAGAACCTGTTGCACTTTTGGTCTGTTACCGACTTACCACAATGATACTTACCCACAACAGAAATATAAAGATACGCGATGGCATATTCGTAGTTGGATTTTAAGAAACTGAAAAAGTATGTATCTAGTGGAAATTGATAGATTATTTCTTCTTCGGTAAAACCAGTATAAATGGTCATCACCAGTGGTACTGCTAAGTAGAAGCTGATACCGATATAGCCACAGAAGTAGAAAACTGAAATTATATTTAAATTCGTTAAAACTTAAGCATCTTTTTTACAAGTTGGGAAAGAAATCATCACTGCCTCGCATATTGTTTTTGAATTAAATATAAATCAGGTTATTAGCTACAATATCGTCGGGTCACAGTTATAACTAGTAGGTATTGTTAACTAAAGTCACTACAAGTACCTAATAGTCTCCACGTGAACATCACATCATACGATTATTTTAAAACTACCTACTTTGGACAACACTAGTAGTGTAGTAAATATTATATCCTGCGTAGCTAAAATAAAATATCAATTTCAATGAAATTTTGGATGATTACAGAAAAATTTAAACACAGCACTTTATATAAGGATTTTTATTTAAGAAATCCTTCTCAATAACGCCGCCATTTGATTGGTGTGTTACCATTAGGATTGTATGTTCGAATACTTACATCGCTGGAACAAATGTAACCGTTCAGTCCACATACAAAGAGTCGAGTCTTTTTCCTCTTTAAAATTATTAGTCGGCCATAACTCAGCAATGTTGTATATAACACGTCTTATGTCGTTCCTCTTGGCCGTTATGATACACAATTTAACAATATCTGTAAAATATTTGCCTACAATAAAATCAATATCGAGTCTTCTGTTATATTATATTTAATATTAATAGATATAATGACCATTGATATTGATTGACGATTGGAGTATAGTGGACCAAGTTGATTCTATTTTGCTGTTTGTGGGTAGTTTTCATTATAATATGAAATAGGGACCCATCATAAACTCTATTGAAAACTCCGTAGGTCTTGCCTTATACAAATAAAGTAATCAAGACAATCCTAGTAATTTAAATAAAAGATTGAAACGGATTAAAACACGAAATATATTACTTGGCTAATTTTTAAATATAATCCGATCTGTATGTTTTTTAGCAGTCACAGTTTGCGTTCAAAGCGATGAGTGAAATGTGTTAAAAATCTATTTAGTCTAAAAAAGTACGACTCGGGCGAGATTTAACTGGCACCCACAGGCTTCTATGCTGCTCTGTGTGATAAGTGCTTTATTTAAAGTTTAAGCCTTGTTAACTACTTCTTACAATTAAACCAAGTAGTCTACTAAACTTATTTTATTTTTCTTATTGCAACATATCCTAAAGTCGATGCAAACCTTGTGTAGCCATCAAAGTCCCAGGTAACGCATTCACCACGTCCAAGAACGTCGCGTTAGTTTTATGGCTTAGAAATAAATATAAAAATTGTCCAATAACAGTGGATACGAGCACTACATACGTAAAAAGTAGCTTCCAGAACCGTTTAAAGAAATTCGACTTAGAATCATCAAAGACATCTATGCCAATAAAACTTACGAATTTAATATGTTTAATGAAAGTTTTCAAGAAATCGTCAGGTAGATCTACTATCTTCGACATTTTAAGTGCTAGTATCTCTGTTATAAATGTTTAGAAAAATTGTACTACTACAATTTCTAGATACGTGATATCATTACGTTCTGCTATCCACTAGTACGGTTAACGAATAAAGTTTACAATGAATTGTAGGCGAATTTACGAGTTTCTTTTATTAACAAAAAATATCAATATCACAATTCTGCCATAAGTAGCTTTCAAATAAATTAACAATTTTAATTAAACCTGCATAAAAAACTTCTATTTTAAATATTTCTGGTTTATGAAGCCATACGACGGTCTTTTTGTTTGAGTTTTGCTACTGGGCCGAAAAATTGATGATACAAGTAAATATTTATAAATATTATTATCAGAGATATTGCCGGGGTACGATATGTTTTTTTACACTATATAATACATATCTAACCACTACACAATATGTGCTATAAATATAGATTCGATTCTAGATTTCCTACACCGTTTAATTGTTATTCAGTGATAAAAAGCATTAGAAATTAGTAATGTGTTTGACGACCGTACTTTTGCAGGCGTAAAAATTTGCAATTTCACCTTTTACAGTAATAGGCTCGTTATTTATTCAATAATATCGTAATAACGCCAATTTCCTTCATATTAATAAAACATACTTACGATATTAAGTAACAGAAACGGCCAAGGGTTTGTCGGATTTCCTCACCAAAATCTATGTTGTTGCAGGAGGCCTAGTCTGGATGAAGTCTTCATTATTATCTCTTTCGTGACGATGCACAAACACAAGTATTTTAATAATCTCTTTTGATAATTTAAGGTTATATTTCAATTCACACTCTCTACATTCTAGAGATTTGTTGGTTCAATTTGAAAAGCCAAGGTTAACTTTGCCGCCATAACTCAACGACACCACGCCGAAGTTAGTGGCAACTTCACATTTAATTATGATGTCAGTTGACGTCCCGTACTAATGACAGTTCCGACCTTATTTTCTTTTAATTTTTATTTTGTAACTTTATTACTTTTACGTGGTATACTGCACACGATAGCATTATATAAATTAAAATCTATACAGACTCATCGTATCATGATCCTCAAATAGTTATTTTAATTTATATTAGGTACTTGGCAATCTCGCTAATAAATCTGTGTCAACGGCCGCCTCTGTAACTAAATGGTTTGGTTGGTTAATATTAAGTGTAAGAGGTCCCGAGTTCGAACTCCCGGGAAACAATAGATTATTTCGGTACCGATGACGTACGTGCCTGAAAATAAAAACACGCGACATACAAATATGTTCGCCCTATGTCCCACGGGCATTTTATTGTCCCTTTTTTTATTAATATCTCATGAGTCTTCCTCTTATCGTTAGTAAATATTGTTCAAAACTTAGGGAGAAAAGGCTCTTTAAGTTTTTGTTAAAAATTGTAAAGAAGATGATTTTTTTTTAAATAAATAAACCTTAATTTTGTATTAAAAATTTATTTTCTATATCAATTACATATCAGCATCATCAGAATCTTCAATATCAGCCAAGGCTTGCTTCGCTTGGTTTTCAGCTTCTGAAGCAATTTCCTTTGGCACCAATTGGTGGCGCCCATTTGTGTCCTTAGATACCCAGGATAACTCCAGTTCAAATTGCTTGTCCTTCAATTCATCGTGGACAAGGTATATGCTGAAAAAAAAAATAATTTGATTAATAATGTCAATATATATATAATAGCATATATGCAGACAGAAATACAACAATATGCTACTATTTTTATCTACCGTTATTTTTGAATTGCTTTTTTCTGCAGCACCATGTATTACATAAACTTCATTGTCAAGCAATACAACAAGTGGGTTATATTATGGGAGATAGCAAAAAGAAAAATTGGACGAACTTTCAATTCAACAAAAAAACATAGATGGCGCTTAAATTAATTTTAAAGTTTACTCACATTCTAGCTGCTTCCTTAACAAGATCTTTAACTGGAATATCAGCAAGTTTGAGCTTTTCAATTTCTGTCTTCGCAGCTTGCTTTGCCTTGCCAACTGCACATCCAAAGTATGACTGAAACATAAATACATAAAGTCATATCGACTATTGTTTAAATATTTACAGCCAAATTTATTTCCTATATTTATTATTCATATAAATAGAAAACAATTACAAGTACACACAGGTAAAAATAACTTAAAAAATTGCTGGTCAAAAAAACTAAGTATTAAGTTAGTTTTAATAGTACAACTCTAAATATCAATTAACAATATTGGAGGACTGTTTCTGTAGTGCAATGGTTAAATATTGACTAGCATTGCATTCAGCAAGAGATGTCCTTTTCGATACTCAGGACAACATTATCGGTACCGAAATAAAACTTACAAATGAGACTCCGCTAGGCTCAAGCATGTACATCTGTGGTCCATCATGCTCTGACCAAGACCCCATAATAGCAGCACATCCATATGGACGGACAGCACTGTACAATGTGTAGGCGTGCATGTACATAGAGACACGCTCATTTAAGTATTTCAATGGGACCGGGATGCCATATTGAGATCTGTAGTTTGATGCTTCTGAGCGTGCAGTTTCAACAATCTGCCTTGCATCTGATATTAGACCGGAAACAGCCTACAAAGAGATGTGGACAATTAAATATTTTATATCATACTTCATTAAGCAAGATGATCCTTATTTTAAATAAAACACTTTAATGGTTAAAAACGCGATATATTAGTTAAACTTATTTGAAAATGATTTTTAACTTCGGCGCGACGTTTCGGATGATTTGCAAACTTCAAATAATATCGAATATTCGATTAAAACAATTAAAATGTTTTATTCAAATGTGTACTACTCGCATAAACTATAGACAGTATTTGAGTTGACCCCTAACTCAAAAATGTGAAATGTGGGGGAAAACTTCTTTCACAGTGTTGTATTTTTTTTGTAATAGATAAAATGACTTACATCTGGACAGCAGGGATTGATTCCTGATGTGTACAATTGTAATGTAATAAAAATTTAAATGGTTGTAATAACTACATGTTGTATTGTACCACATCAATGATAGTAGATACATGAGACAGATTATGCCCCATATGAATTAAAAGTTACAATAATAAACTCAAAAACATTACAACTTGAGCATGACTTAAACCTGCATCTATAGAGCTTCATGCTGTTGCTGTAACCGATTGAGCTTTCAAGTCTGAGGATTCGTTCAATTTTTGTTCACATAGTGCCATCATGTGCAATGACATGTAGAAAAATTAAAGTTTTCAAAGATTATGCCTTAATCATTCCGAAATAATCAAGATTTAATTTCTACAAGAAAAGCAACTCATATCTTTAGTGGTTACAAGACTTCCCTTTAGTTATGGATTTTTAAGGATACATAGATAACCAAAGGCAACAGTTGTGTTTTACAATGTAATGATTAATAAAACTATAATCTGAGAATTGTAACTAACAAAAATAGAAAATTCTTTGAATTGTTAAATCTTACAATAAGTGAACCTAATGTAGGATATTGGAATAAATAATAAAAAAATATGCACTCCTAATAAAACTTACCATCCCAACATGTTCATCTACATGGAATATCCTCTTGTTTGCACCAGTTTCATACAATTTGGATGTAACTAGCTTTTCAACTGCAAAAACGACACCATCTTTTCCTCGTAATCCAATAACTGTACCAGAGTTTTCTACGGCTTTTGCTGCATATTCAACTTGAAATACTCTGCCGTCAGGGGAGAATTGTGATGCAGACAAGTCGTACTATAAATAATACACATAAATAGGTATAACTTAAGAATACAACCTCTTTTTATAATAGCGTCCAAAAGCAGTTTAGAAGAACTCAGAATAGAAGTTTTTTTAAGATTTATCAGGGCAAATGTGGAATGGAATGTAAAAAATAGCTTCCCAAACAAACATAGAGAATAACTTACACCCGTTCCTATAGAACTCATTATTGATGATTACAGCAAACACTTAATTAAGTGAAGTCTTGTTATAAAGTTTAATATAAATTTGTCTTTTCAAAAAATACAAATCACTGTATGTAAGTTAGCGGCTTGCGGCGATGACAAGCAAATCGTGAATTTTAGAATTTGAATCTTGACATATATTGTTGATAGTCTGTATTCTACTGTCTATTACTTGCTAAAGACGGCATAAAATATATATGTTATTATTACAAAGATAATTTTTAAGTAACTAAACTATTAAAATATTGTATTTTTTTCATAAATTTTAATTTTATTTGAAATAATGTGGTCATCTCGTGATACAATTACATGAAGTTAATTGTAACTGTAGTTGCTTAAATTGGTTCTAGATGGCGTTAACCGCAAAGGTTATTTATCTGTCATGACATCCATTTATTTTACATTTAACAAACGTGGTTTTGGCACTATATATAATGTACGTACTTAAGTCCAAAGCCAAAATATGATATGTTTAGATGCTATAGGCAGGGGTATATCACCTACCATCAAGAGAACCCCATGCCATGTCTGTCCTCTATCATTAAAAAAAAAGTACCGACGCACTTATTGTTAATACAAATCATAGTAAAATTGGTAATAGACACTTTTACATGCTACCTATACAAATGTCAAGAGGTCAGTTATACGCACATTGTATATAGGCAGTAGGTACGTACCAATATTACAAAAGGAATTTTTCACATACGTATTCGGGTCGAAAACAACGTCAATATAGGCGGCAAGCAGATTACCATGTCAAAAGAATTTACGACCGTGCCCCTGTTTACACATTTTTGCACCGCACCTTAAACGCCGAAAACAAGCGAGAATTTTGGTGCAAAATCCACAGAATTGTTGAACAAGCTATAAAGAGCAAAGATAGTTTATGGTTTAAATAATACCGTTTTCAGTTTTAAAAGCAGGCATATCTAAAATCAATGAAGATATAATATTGTGTATTAAACCCGTAAAAACGTTTTATTTCATATAGGTACATATATGTACCACTCTCGTTAATTCCAGACAATATTTAGAACTAATATTTCCTTTGATGAGTTCTTGGCACGCCTAATGTTTGATACACCTCACACTTGGGGTTTTATCGTCTCAAGAGTAAATTATATAATATTTGTTAGCAGTTTGGGACATATTAGAATAACTAGCACACCTTTTCATCTTTATAAACTTAAGCTGTTACCCCGACGTCGATTGCGTCCCTTCTCATCATTCTTGCAAGTTAATCTTAAAAGATAGACATTTATATCATTTAAAGAGAAATCATTATTTCATAAATATTCTGAGGTATCTAAAACCGTTTTTGCAGCGTACGCCTCGTAAACCCATAATAATTATTAATTTTCCCCCTTTTTTTCCTACATTATTTTTTATCTTTGCTTGTATTAGTTATTAGGACGATGTTTATACAAACAAACAAAGGCTTCAACATTATACATATATTAGTATAGATTAGATGTTGGTATAACTACAAATTATATAGGCAATGCTACACATATAAGTGTAGAAATAATTATAAATAATAAAAAAAATCAATACAAACTCTTATCTTTTGCAAATGTTATTGCACATAATGACACTATATTATAAACGAAACTCGATTTTTTTTAGAAAACTAAATTGGTTAGAGCAATCTAAAATTGGATGTTTAAACAATAATTGTTTTCGACAGGAATTATATGTTATAATAATATCATCATATGTTTTCACATTATGCTGGAATGATTTGCACATACACTACCACACCTTTTAAATTGTATCTATTAATAAACATCACCATATAACATTTTATTCTTATGAACCTTATATTATTTACTATTATTAGTAAGAAAGTCGTAGTTTGAAACACTTTCAGGGACCAATAGAAAAGCTCATTTTGTTTTATTTCCACTTGAAGCCAACGCCCGAGCCCTTTCAAGGGTTCTTGTTTGTTATTTGACGAGATAGTGGGAACAGTATCGGAGACAATCATTGTGACTCCAATGAAGCCTTTGAAACGAAGTAATTTTGGAAGCCTCTCGTTAACGACACCGCAAAGGCTATTAAAGAAGATAAAAGGAAATTGTTTACAGTTATTTTTGTTGAATAAAAGCATATTCTCAGTATCTACAGTTTCTAAAGTTGTATATTGTTTTAGGAGTTGCCATAGATATTTGCCATATTGCCATAGATCTTTATTTTTCATTTTGTTAAGCTTTCTATATTTTGTATTAAGTTAATTCGTTTATAGATTTTATATCTGTAAGCAACTTTTGAAATAAATGATTTTAAAATCAAAAAAATCGAAAAAATTCTCGACTCGGGCAGGACTTGAACCGGCATCGTCATACCGAGCCTTATGAATGGTTTCATTATTTTTATTATATTTAAATAAAGAGGTTTCGAAATAATGGCGTTGATTGTTTTCAATATATTATATAACACGAGCACTATAATTTATACAATTTCTGATTAACTACTTCTTTCGACATTAATGTATGATAATACATACATATTATAGTGGTAAAAAATATAACCCTATACGTTACTAGCTGAGCCAGCGACGTCGTCTGTGTAGACCTACGTCGTTCGGGGGGGGGGGGGCCAAAAGGGGGGGGGGGGGGGGGGGGGGGGGGGGGGGGGGCCGGGCCCGAGAAAAAAACCCGGGGGGGGGGGGAAAACAAAAACAAAAAACACCCGGGGGAAAGGGGGGGGAAAAAAAAAAAAACCGCGGGAACCCGGGGGGGGGGGGGGGGGGGGGGGGGGGCCCCCCCGGGGGGGGGGGGGGGGGGGGGGGGGGGGGGGGGGGGGGGGGGGGGGGGGGGGGGGGGGGGGGCAAAAAAAAAAAAAAAAAAAAAAAAAAAAAGGGCCCCCCCCCCCCCCCCCCCCCCACCCACAAAAAAAAAAAAAAAAAAAAAAAAAAAAAAAAAAAAAAAAGAAGGGGGGGGCCGGGGGGGTTTTTTTTCCCCCCCCCCCCCCCCCCCCCCCCCGGGGGGGGGGGGGGGGGGGGGGGCGCGGGGGGGCGCCCCCCCCCCCCCCCCCCCCCCCCCCCCCCCCCCCCCCCCCCCCCCCCCCCCCCCCCCCCCCCTCCCCCCCCCCCGGGGGGGGGGGTTCTCCCCCCCTCCTTTTTTTTTTTTTTTTTTCCCCCCTTTTTTTTTTTTTTTTTGGGGGGGGCCCCCCCCCCCCCCCGCGCGGGGGGGGGGGGGGGGGGGGGGGGGGGGGGGGGGGGGGGAAAAAAAACAAAAATTTTTTTTTTTTTTCTTCCTCCCCCCCCCCCCCCCCCCCCCCTCCCCCTTCTTCTTCTTTTTTTTTTTTTCTTCTTTCCTTTTTCCCCCCCCCCCCCCCCCCCCCCCCCGTGAGGGTGGGGGAGGGTGGTGTTTTCCCCCCGGGGGGGGGGGGGGGGGGGGGGGGGGGGTTTTTCCATAAATATTCTTTATTTAAAAAAACCCCCCCCCCCCCCCCCCCCCCCCCCCCCCCCGGCCCGGGGCCCCCTTTTTCTCCTCCCCCCCCCCCCCCCCCCCCTCCCCCCCCTCCCCCCCCCCCCCCCCCCCCCCCCCCCCCCCCCCCCCCCCCCCCCCCCCCCCCCCCCCCCCCCCCATAAAAAAAAAAAAAAAAAAAAAAAAAAAAAAAAAAAAAAAACCCCCCCCCCCCCCCCCCCCCCCCCCCCCCCCCCCCCCCCCCCCCCCCCCCCCCCCCCCCCCCCCCCCCCCCCCCCCCCCCCCCCCCCCCCCCCCCCCCCCCCCCCCCCCCCCCCCCCCCCCCCCCCCCCCCCCTTTTTTTTTTTTTTTTTGTTTTTTTTTTAAAAATAACGTTCGGCTCCCGTCGTTCTTCGCTTGCGAGTTCGTTTTAAAAGATAGACATTGTTGTGTACCTTTTTTTGATAATTTCATGAAGAATCATTCTCTCATTCTTTGTGTATATTGAACCAATTTCGCAGCGTACGCATCGAAAACCTGAACAAATATGATTAATTTACCCCGTTTTTACCGCATTTTCCGCTTTTTCTTCGCTCCTATTAGTCACAGCGCAATGTTTTATAGCCTATAAGCCTTCCCCTTTATAATTGGTCTAACCAACAAAAACGGAATTTTTCAATTCAAACCAGTAGTTCCTGAAATTAGTGCTTCAAACAAACAAACTCTTCAGCTTTAAATATTAGATTATGTAGATAATATAAATATAAACATAAGTATTACAACTCTATATCTAAGTCTCGAAGTCTCGAGTGTCTAAAATTTGTTTTATAATAGTTGTAAAATATATATTCCGTCATAAATGTTTCTGTCGGAAATTAGGTACCAATCTACATGAAATTTTACTCCAATTTCACACGAATTCCGTACAAAAGAGCTCAGTAAGAATAATCTATGTGTCCTGAAACGCGAATTTTCTTTTCATTACTCTTTTATACTGCGGAGAAACGAGCCAATTTAAGTTCTTGGAATTTTAAATTTTATTTTCACTGTGATAACACTTCTGCGGAGAAATGTGATGAAGAAATTAAACGAAGGGCTAATAGCATTGTCTGGCTAATGATCACTGGGTCGTGGGTTCGGTTCCCGCCAGGTCCAACATGTTTAAAATTTTTAAATTTATAATTTTTGTAAAATATGGTGGACGTCGTCTGGAAACGGGGATATTAAATGAGTGGTAGAAATATACAAATTCCGTGCGGGTCCACAAATGAAAAAGCCGAGAAGCTTTATCGCGTTTCTGTTGCAGTCTGTCGATTTCCGAATATTCAAAGCAAAAATATGTCGACCGCGCATCTTGTTTAGATGCTATATATATCACCTACCATCGAGTAAGCCCCGTGGTGTCTGTCGTCCTCTATCTTAAAAAAAATACCATAATAAGCTTACAACTTTTCTGTTGTAGATTTATCAAGGAAATTACAACAGAATCTTACCTCAAAAGATTTCCAATCATGTTCACACACAATTTAACTTCGAATGCAATAAAATATCCATTAATTTTGAAGATGGCCA